TTTTTTTTGGCTTCTGACAGTTTTGTACTTTGTTCACTTGCTTCAGTTACCATGTGACAAATTTCTTTGCACCAAGCAGTCGCTTTGGAACTCCAGATGATCTTAAGTCTTTAATAGATAAAGCTCATGAACTGGGCTTGATTGTTCTCATGGATATTGTACACAGGTATAGAAAGTTTACATGATTAAACATCAATCCTACATCCAAAGATTGTTGAGTGATTTCGTATAGTTGATGAATAGCTTCTTTTCTGAAAATCTTAGTCCATGAAACATTTTTTAAGAGGTCTATGAAACAATTTTGAGGGCCGTTGTCCATGTTTGCAGTCACGCATCAAATAATACTTTGGATGGGCTGAACATGTTTGATGGTACCGACAGCGGTTATTTTCACTCTGGACCACGGGGTTATCATTGGATATGGGACTCTCGTCTGTTTAACTACGGACAATGGGAAGTATGTAGTCTCCAATTAGAATGTTGAACTTTTTTCTTTAATTGTATCATCATGATTGGGATCTAAAGTACCTTTATTCGTAGGTTCTAAGATTTCTTCTATCTAATGCGAGATGGTGGTTGGATGAGTATAAGTTTGATGGTTTCAGATTTGATGGTGTGACATCAATGATGTATGCACACCATGGTTTACAGGTACTATCTTCAGTTTTCGACAAATCGACTGATTAATTTTATTTGATGAAGTGATTGGCATTTATGGCGAAGTCTTAAATATTTATAATAATAGTTCTGTCCTCATCTGCCATACTTACTCGGACAATTTAGCTTCATCACATGATGGGTAGAATGCAGTCGTAAAACGGTGCTTCTTTTTGTGAAGAATATCTTTTATATTATCGGAGAATTGGATCCTTTTCAGAACCCTTCTAAGATAATTAGGTATTTTGGTCCCCAAATGCATGTGTCTGTCTCATGTTTTCCAGGTCAGTCACTCCCAGTTTTGCCATCCCTCTCTATTTATTTAGGTGCTTAATTAACAAGTAGTTCTTGACCACAATAAGAATTCAGTTCTGCATTAAGAAAGCATGAAATTTCATTTTAACATTTAGACAAAGGTAAAAGGTAACAATAGAAAAATGATGTATACCTGGGTTAAGTTTGTTATAGTTGCTATTTAGGAATTGTAACCAAGTTCTATCTAGATCAAACGTGATATTCTATTAACCTAAGATGTAAATTATGTAAATGTTTTTTAACGCAAGAATGTTCTCACTGTCATATTCCGCTGATTTGCAACCCAATGCTTGGGCAATTTATTATCTGTTCAAATCTTGTACTTCTCGATTTTATCGTCTCGGTGTTGAAGCTAATATATTTGATTGTTAAAAGGTGGGATTTACGGGGAACTACAACGAGTATTTTGGATTTGCAACGGATGTGGATGCTATGGTGTACTTGATGCTGGTTAATGATCTCATTCACGGGCTGTTTCCTGAAGCGATTACCATTGGCGAAGATGTAAGCTTGTTCATTTAAAACATTTGGCCAGCCTTATTTATTTTAATATTTGGTTCTTTGGGCGAAGAAATAGATAAGAACTATAATTTCGATGCAGATGGAAGAATGACAAAAATTCATTTTATGAATATCTGGTGCTTCCTAAGTCGTGCTTAATATTTGGGTTTGGAACTGACTGATTCTCTTAATGTTGTTTGGTCTCTTAACCTTCTTATTTCTTGTTACCATTTATATTTGAAATAACTTACTAGTCCCTCCCTCCCCCACAACGATAGGCATGCTACTTGTTCACACAATTTAAGAAAACATCCAGTGTAGTTAATGGAAAGTTGTGTATTTTCATGACATGCACTTTTATGATTTTATTTTGTTTTCTCCATGTTAGTAAAACGGGGAATAGAAGAGTACTTACTATTTCAATTATGGTATTTGGAAGATGCTTGTCTATCTTTGTGGGACAAACCAAAATAGAATGCGACCTATCTAGGCAGAATGGAGTACATAACTTAGGCTGTCAGTAGATTAAGTATGTAGATATTTATTTTGTAATAGCTAACGACAACTTCTGTTCTTTTTGGGAGAAATTAACAATTTCTTGCTGGGAAGTTTTTATCATTTCTTATTATTGTTTCCTTTGTTTTCATTGCAATAAACCTTTGTTCAATTATGTCTTGTGTATTTTGATACAGTTCGAACCTTAGTGTAAAATAATAAGGTGAAGAAATAACATAGAACAATCATCTTCTTCACATTTCAGTCTTTCTGAAAATAGCCCTGATGATAATCTAAAGGTTTTCATTGATTATATTTGATGTTAATGAGGCAATGCTCTGTCTGCAAAATACTTCATTATTCTGAAATGGAGTTACTTTTGGCTGAAATTTATTCGGATATTTTATCGAATTTCAGGTTAGTGGCATGCCAACTTTCTGTATCCCTCTTCCTGATGGTGGTGTTGGATTTGACTACCGTCTGCACATGGCAATTGCTGATAAATGGATTGAAATTCTTAAGTAAGTATGTTGCTCTTGAAGCTTTTGACTTTATATCATCCAGGAAATAGGGAATAATTCTAGTTCTCTTTGTAATAGTACTTGTTCATGTGAAGACTTGAAAAGAATAGATTCTGCTTATTGGATTTCTCTTTTGCTTAATTTCCTTTTCTGACCCTGGAGGTGCGAGAAACTTATGAGTAAGCCAATGTCAAAAAAAAA